AACTCAGGTCCTCCTGAATCCAGGGCCGGTGCTCTATCTACTGCACCACCTAGCTGCCCCTCTGGCAATTCTTAAGACCGTAAGTTGTTGATCTACATTGGTAAAGAGTGACTCTTCTTCTGGTAGTTCCCTATATGAATTAAATCACAGATCCAGCCCCTATGCCCTATCTCTATGCCTGGTATATAGCAGTGCTTAATAAAATACTTGCAGATTAAATTACTGGTAGGAGTGGAGATCATTGGGAAATGATTACATTACAAAAAGCACCAAGTTATGATGTTGTTGTTCAGTCACATCTGACTCTTTGTGATCCCATCTGGGGCTTTCTTGGCAAAGATACTGGAGTGTTTGCCATTTCCTTCTCCAGATCATTTTACAGATAAGGAAACTGAGGCAAACAGGATGAAGTGACTTGCCCAGGGTCACAGAGCTAGTAAGTGTCTGAGGTCAGATTTGAACTCAGGTCTTCCTAACTCCAGGCCTGGTTCTCTATCCACTGTACCACCTAGTTGCCTTGCCAAGTTATAAAAGGCATCAATAAAACTTTAAAAACATTCTATTGTGTTTGATAGTAATTGGTGAAAGTCTCCTCTCTCCTAAGTAGATTGTTGTTCTTTGTAGTTCCCATAATGGCTAGCACAGTAGGCACTAAATAAAGATATTTACTGAATGGATAGATAGATGGATAGATGAATGAATGAATGATTCCTTGGATTCCTAAGAAATCATTTGTTGTTGATGACTGCTAAGGAATGTCTACTCCTGGGCCTTTATTCAGACCACTTGGGTTTCTGATCTCTCAACTATTTTTGACTGCCACTATCCATATACTTCTTAACCCTTTGCTTGACCTGAGAACCTATTCTATTGTCTGGGTCTCCTGGTCCTGGTCCCTGCCTGTCCACACCTTTTATGCGGTCATCCACGCCATAGCATAACATGTAGACGGTAACATAAGATTTTCACTTATTGATACATTGCCTTGTGTCATTTTCACATTAAAAAAAAATCTTTCCAACTGGATTGCAAGCTGCACGACAAAAAGGGACCAACCATGTTTTGCATTTTGCTGCAGAACACCTAACACAAGACTAATCATATGGTAAGTGTTCAGTGAATACTGTTGTTAATTATAGAAATATACCCACAGTATAACTGGTCTGACCAAAAGACTTAGTGTTTTGGATTTTTTTTTTTACTTTTTTTTTTTTTTTTTTTTGCTTTTTGGTGAAGCAATCGGGATTAAGTGACTTGCTCAGGGTCACACAGCTAGTAAGTGTTAAGTGTCTGAGGCTGGATTTGAACTCAGGTCCTCCTGACTCCAAGGCCAGAGCTCTATGCACTGCGCCACCTAGCTGCCCCAGTGGTTTGGATTTTATAAGGGTCATTGGATCATACAAGGGAATTATGAGGCACAAATGAGACAGTGTATTAAAACAATTTTCAAACCTTACAGAACTTTATAAGTGCCAGTCATCATTAGGATTAAATGAGATTTGTAAATCACTTTGCACAGTTCCCAACCCATAATAGGCACTATATAAATGCTTATTCTTTTCTCTTTCCCTTACTATTAGCCTATAGTCACCAGGCTTCCAGTCTGGTGATGATTTCATTTCCTGATCCTTCTACTGTGCTCCTGATGCACTCAAGCAATATTTATAAAGCAATACAAGGGGGTGCCGGTAAATGTTTAACAATCGGGCTTCAGAAAAAAAAAACAAAATTAACATTTATGCACACAAACTTTTAAGTGTGATCTGTATTATTAATACTTTCTTAAATCTAGGCAACAGGAAAAAAAGATAAATCAAGGCCTGACTTGTAGCAATTACATTCAGCTATCGAAAGCTGATTGGAGCTAGTTCCAGCACACCCCTAGAGGTATGATACACTCTAAAGAGCACTGTAGTAGGAGTCTGGAACTCTAGATTCTAACCCAGGGGCCTTTAACCTTTTTGTGTCATGGATCACTTAGTCAGTCTGATGAAGCTTATGGACACCTTCTTAAAACAATGCTTTTAAACACATAAAATACATAGGTTATAATGGAAACCAATTATAGTAAAATACAGCTATCAAAAATATTCTTTAAAAACAAGTTCATGAACTCCAGGTTAAGAATCCCTTTTCTAACCCCAGCTATTCCATGGCTTAATGAAGACATATCGGAATTCCAGATACCAGTATTTCTAAGTTCCCTGTTCTGTGGATATATAGTATAAATCAATTCTATCAAATCTTGGCTTGGTTTAGTTCCACTACTGTGCACAGATGCCTCTTTCCTCAGCTCAGTGGCCTATTGAAACACTCCCAGGGAGAGGACTTACTCATTATGACAGATGCCCATCAAATCTGGAGAGAATCCACCCATGTGGGCACCTGATGGTACAGTGGATAGATAGCTGGGCCTGGAGTCCTGAAGACCTGAGTTCAAATTCAATTTCAGACCCTTACTATCTGTGTGATCCTGGGCAAGCCACTTAAACCTCTGATTGCCTCTGTTCCCCAAACTGTAAAACGGGGATAATAGCACTTACCTCATTGGGTTGTTTTGAGGATCAAATGAGATAATAATTCTAAAGCACTTAACATAGGACCAGGCACATAGTAAGCATTCTATAAACGTTAGCTATCATCATCATCATCATCATCATCATTATGCAGTTGGCACAGTGCCTGACATAGAGAAGGCTCTAAATAAATACTTATTTCTTTCCCTTTTCCTTCCCCATATAGATGGACAGATCTGTTAAACCAGTCAGGAGGGGAACAAGATCACGTAGAATAAGGAATTAGTCTGTGGAATTTTTGGCTGCCATCAGAGATAACAATCAGTTCCTTTAGCATCTACTTAACATCGTCAGCCAAAATCCAGCATTGAGAAGCAAAGCTGTGGTGCAAGGAAAAATCTGCACGAGAGGCCAAGAAGATTGTCTTGTATGCTGTTCAGTCTGGTTTTTAGTGACTTAAAAATGGGGCATAAAGTCTAGGTTATACTCAAGAAAGCAAGATTGGTCTGTATAGGTAAAGGACAGTAAATGAGTAGCTCACCGGTAAATGCCCAAGGAGTGGCGTGATACTATCAGATACATAGATGATGTTTCCATCTGTTGTCACTGCAATAATGAAGCCGTCTAATGCCTGCAGAAAACAGAAGAAGGGAAAATGCTTTAGCATATGATTTTATGGAGGACAAGGGCAGAGAACCTTATCTTACCTAGTTGTTTTTGTTTTAAATCCCCAGAACATTTCCACAATAAGATCAAAGCCCTTCTTTTTGCCATCAAAGTGACTTTTCAAAATGGGAGAGTTTTCAAAAGCAAAAGAGGCTTAGTGGGAAAGACTACATATTCATAGATTACAGAAATTAAGCAATTAAAAATTTTTTAAAAGCACAGTATTGAACTGTTTCAAAAGCATAGCGGTTACTATTACAAAAATGTAAACGTCTTGATTCAATTCGATGAGCACATATGATTCAATAGTAAAATCTGACTGAGTAAAGTAAAACTTAACACTCTTTTACGAAGACCTACTGTGTGCTCTGTGTTTGAATTAGGTCTAATAGCTTCAAGGCATAGTTAAACCTCCATTCCCTACTAGAGGAAAAGTCATGGAAGAATTAGGCACTACAGAACAACCAAATTATTAAAATATCAACAATGACCAAATATAAGTATTTAATAACAATCTGGAGTAAATTACTTTTTCAAAGACATCTGGCCCTGGCTTCAACTTCTAATAGTCCAGTAAAATTGAGTTCCTTTATACATATCAATATTTCAGAATGTCTAAATTATATAGACAATATTGTCCCCAAAACAATTAATATTTTTCATTAAAAAGACATAAATATTTAACTCTTATTTTTCCTTAATGAGATTTAAAAAAAACTATGTTTATTATGTTTTTATAAGACATTCAGAAGATGATATCTCTAAGTAGGACCATACTAAGTTTGGATAGATAGTGTACTTATCCTGGGCAGCTAATGAGTTGTCTGAAGGGAAGACTGTTTCATTTTTGTCTTTGTATTCCAGTGCCTGGTATTCAGTAGGTGCTTAATAATAATAACAATTAACACTTATATGGCACCTACTATGTGCCAGGCACTGTGCTAAGCTCTTTACAATTATTATCTCATTTGATCCTCACAACAACCTCAGGAGGTAGGTATGATTATTTGCCCATTTTACAGACAAGAAAACTGAGGCAAACAATGGTTAAGTGACTTGCTCAGGGTCACATAGCTAGTAAGTGTTTGATACTGGATTTTAATTCAGGTCTTCCTGGCTGCAGGCCCAGGACTCTATTCACTGTACCACCTAGCTTGTGGACTAATTCTAGATTCAAGGGTAAGAGAGATTAAAAAAAAAAGAAAGCAATTCACCAGAAAATAAATCTGAGAACAATTGTGTCCAAACTAAGATTATTTTTGGAATAAATCTATCATTAAAAAAATAACTTTCTGAAATATCTGCTCCAAATTTGAAGTCTGTTTATCTATGCTTTGGGAGAAAAAATCAAATGTGTTCTTAGAATCCCAAGAAGGCAAGTTATTGAAAAAATATGCATAGCATCCAATTAATACTTCCCAATGTTACTCTTTAAAAGTAAGTTGTGTACTTCAGGAGTGGCCTTAACTCCTTCAAGTCACAGGGGTGCCCTGAAGCAGTAATCTGAAAAAGTACTCCAGTAAGTAATACGAAAGAGTTAACATCCATCTGGAAAGTATGTACCTAATTGGCAGGTACATTATTTACGTCTAAGGAGATTCTGGCTCATCAGATATTTTTTGAGGAGTATTTTTTAAAAAATCATTTTTTAACATTCATTTAAAAATTTTAAGTTCCAAATTCTCTCCCTCCCATACTTAATATGAAATCATATTTCCATATCAGACATGTTGCAAAAATAAAAATAAAAAGTCAAGAAAACTAAAGAAAGTGAAAATAAATGCTTCAATCTGCACTTAGAATTCATTAGTTTTCTCTCTGGAGTTGGAGAGCAATTTTCATCAGCTCATCACCAGACTTATTTTACCTATTTTCTTTATATCCTCACATTATTTGACTAAAGGTTAAGATTTCTGAGGAATAAGTCAAGGTTGCCTGTGTATTGACGGAGTCGCATTTCTTATAATACTTCATCCTTTCATATAGATGGATCATTGTTATCAAAGAAGTACGTCCTGGTAATAAGACTATAACCCTTTTCATCTTTTAGCTCTTATTCTGATATTGGCTTTAAAGGGCATTTTTCAGCCCCGTTGGCAGGCAGTTATACTCCTGCTGATGTCAATGGAAACCTTGCTCAGGGCCGTCTGGGTGGGGTGGGGGGAAGAGGGGATGCTTTTCATCTGCTAGGACAGTGTGTCCACATTCCCCTTGAATTCTTTATTTCAGAGCAAGTGGATGTTAATAGGTTGGAGGTATTTATAAAATGGAAAGAAACTTACAACAGTTCAATAGCAATTTCTAGCAAACTTTCACTAATGGCCCTGAGTTATCTCTCTCAGAATGCCTGCTTTAGTTTTAAAAGCCCCATCAGCATAATTTAAAGGTAATTTAATAGAATGTAATTGCCAAGTGATTGTGCCCCTATTATTGTAAAGATGACTTTGATCAGCGCTCTAAAATTGGTTACAGTAGAAATACTAATGGCTTGAGATCTTACATCTACCACACAATACAGACAAAGGGAAACTACCACCTCTTTCTTTTTCTGTCCCACACTTAGAATGAAATATTCCCTATGTGCTCCCCAAACAAATTCTGGCCTAAAAAAAGCCAGAATTTACACCTCTCTTGATTAAAATTCAGAACCTCATGCACTCTTTCATTTACAGTAAACAGGAAGCCTGACCTACTTTGTTCTGCCTTCGATTCATCTAAAATGGTCTGGGATTCTTACTTTCCAGGTTCACCTTGCTGGACGAAGCAACTTTCCCTCTTGCTTATTCTCAGAGTGAAGTTGTTTTCATTTTTCTAAGCCTTGGGATCTTAGGGACCTTCTGATGATTTGTCTAAAACCCCATTTTTGGACCTTAATGAAGGGAAAAAGGAAGGAAAGGTGTCTATTTTAAGAAGTATATAGCAAATTTTTTTGGGTGGATGGTCAGTGGGTTAGTGATGTTTGGGCTCATGCTTCTACATAAAAGACTACTTGCTGGACACAGTACCCTTATTTCCCCTCTGTCTCCCCCTCCCCCCTAGTTTTTGCTTGGAGCAACTTTTTTGGTATAGGGAACTCTGGGTAAAAAAACTCTCTACCAATGTAGATCTGTAATTTTTCTGCTTCCTTGGAGAGTTGCCTGGGGGTGTTTGAGAAGTTAAATGGTTTGCCTAGGGTTACAGCTTGGGGCAGCTAGGTAGTGCAGTGGATACAGCACCAGGCCTGGAGTCAGAAAGACTTGATTTCAACTGTGGCCTCAGACACATACAAGCTGTGTGTCCCTGGGCAAGTCACTTCACCCTGTTTGCCTCAGTTTCCTCATCTGTATAAAATGAATTGGAGAAGGAAATGGCAAACCACTCCAGCATCTTTGCCAAGAAAACCACAAATGGGGTCATAAAGAGTTGAATATGAGTGAGAACAACACAAAAGGGTTACAATTTGGGTCACAGGAGTTGAACCCAGGCTACCTCCTGCCTCAAAAGGCCAGTTCCCTCCCCGCTAAGCCACATTGCCTCTCATGCTCCTATCTTATCACATCACTCTCTTGAACAGTGACAGGGTGTATAGGCACAACGTAAAATGTCATTCAGAGGTGGAAAGTACTCCCTGTTTACAGATAAGTGACAGACACCCTTAACGAGGCACATTGGGAGCTTTCATGGATGAGAGACTCAATAGGGCTAGAAGCTCTAAGCCAGAAATGTTGGTTTGCGGCATTCTCAGGTCACAAAAAAATCAAATTCAGAACAAAATGGCCTAAATAAACAGAGTAGGCTGTTTTTCGTTTCTAATTCAGTCATCCCATCCAGACATAGTCTCAGGGCATCCTCCCTTGATACAATGGGTAGATTGTTCATTTTAGAAGATGAGCAGGAAATTGTGCAAATTTTTTTTTCAATACACAACGAATGCAGGGCATCTGCATACATCTGCAGCCACCTTATCCTAGCTATCCCACCTACCTGAATTTCAGTCCTAGCCTCCAGTCCAAATCATTTCCAAGTAATGCTATCTAATTTTGACTATGCAAGCTCATGTTTCTTCAGACATTTTTAAATGCCTCTGAAATTTATTGAATAAATGAGACTAGCTTTCAGTTCATAAATACGGCCTGTAGCTATAGTTCTGTTTTAACTGTATTTACATAAGAATGAAAATAGAAAGTTATTTATGTAAAGCAGTATAATGATATATCTATCCAAGCATTATATTTTACAAACAGCTCTATATTTAACTTCTTTAAAATGCATTACTGGAAAAGTAAGTTTTGTAGGTTCTTTACATATATTTTGTATGTAGATTTAAGCATTTTTATGCAAATACTCATTAATACTTGTGTATTCCATAATATTTGGACATAGTCATTATGGCATTTAATTATTCAAATACTCTCATTTTTTTCTGTATATCTAATTTATGCAAAGTGAGGGTTATATCAGTACTATGCATGTATATGTGTGTGAAGAGATGAACAGATATGCCCAAAGAAGAAACTCTCCAAATAGTTTGCTAGTTATCCTTGAGATAAAGTTTCTATTTTATCATCTTCATGTTAAACTTACCCAACCTAATTCTTCTTGCTCTGCATAGCATAAAAATATACAGAAGGATGCTTCTCTTGCTATCTCTCCTATAGGGAAAGAGATTAACTTTTCCATTTCTGAGTAAATGGGAAAAATGGGAAAACCTTGCTCTGTGTCTTAACTTCAGTTCTATCTCCAATTAGTGGCCAGAAAAATCTGAATGTTCTTTGCAGAAACTCTACCTTCATGTATACTAGATTACAGAACAGAGGCAACATTGTGTAATGGTTAGAACACTGGTTCTATAGTTAGAACACCTAATTTCAAGTCTTAACTATGGCACTTAACTGTATGATCCTGTGCAAGTCACTTAACCCCCGAGACTGAGTTTCTTCATCTATAAAAATGGGAAAATTAATAATAATGTGTTTTATCTGCCTCAGAGGGTCTTTTTTTGGGGTAAGTGCTTTGTTAGCCTTGAAGTACTTTATAAATGTGAGTTATTATTGTTTTCACTAGACCATAAATATTTTCAGAAGAATAGTTCTCTGCCTCCATAACAGTTTGAATCATTGACTGGGAAGGAAGAAATAAGCCAATGGGAACCTACCATTTATCATCAAGAGGAAAAACGTATGTGCATGCGCTCACGCACGCATAGACACAAATATAGTATTAGATGTACACGTGATTTCCTTAGGATAGTTCTCCAATCTCCATCAGTAATTTTGAATCATAAAATTTGGATTACAATTTTACAAGAAAAAAATTAATAAAATTATAAATAATAACAAATTACATTTGTATAGCACTTTAAATTTTTCTTAGTGTTTTACATCTATTATATCAGCTGAGCCCTACAACAGTCTTGTAAGGTAGGAACTACCAGGTATCCTTATCTTCATTTAACAGATCAGGACACTGAGGCTCAAAGGGGTTAAAGAAGTAGCTCAGGCCAACTCTCAAGCCTCAATGCCACATTATCTTTCAAAAACACTTAGGATCAGCTATGTGACCCTGCGCAAGTCACTTAATCCCAATTGCCTAAAAATAAAAAAAAAACAAATAAAAATTTAAAAAAAAATCCATTTAGGATCAAAGACTCAGAGATGGAAAGGACCCTAGAGAACATCTAATTTAAATCCCTCATCTTCCTGATGAAGACACTTAGGTACACAGAGGGAAAGTGATTTGCTTTGGGTTGTAAAGGTACTAAGGAATGATGGCTATTTGAACTCATTCCCCTTGACTTCAATCCAGCCCTCTTTCCATTCTATCTCACTGCCTCTTTAAAAGTAGTTTTAATTCATTGGAAATTTTCACAAAAACAGAATTTGAAAGCACATCTTTCTTTTCAAAATGTGTTCCTCCTAAGCACATAATTTTATAAAATGGGGTTAGCATCAGTCCTTGCATTCAGGGAAAAGAAAAGTCTATGTCAAATGAAAGCAAAGTCTGTATGTAATTTTTCCCCTCCTGTATTATTTACCCTTTGGCTAGCAAGTCATCACGTCTCTAGTGCAGAGTGAGAAAACCAGGCACTTCCTTCCCAGCAATAGCAATCTATGGTATTCTGATTTACTACTAAACATAGCTTTGGATCTCACTGTACAGATTTGCTTCATTACACCGCCAAGTACTGTAGTCACAGCACGAATGGGAGCAAGTAATCACACGATAGGATATTTTTCACAGGGCCTTCTCTTGAAGGATTGTGGACAAATTATTACTGGGGCCAACAAGTTACATCCAGAGTCAGTAAGATATGTTTTCTTTTGAAACCCTTAAAACTAATTTTAAAATGCACTTTTTTTTTTTTTACCTCTAACATCAGCTGGGTGAATTCTTCATTACTGAGAAATGAAGGCTTCCAGTCTTGCTGAATGTCACAGAGTTCTGTCTGCGCTGAAACTTCTAAACAAATACAAATGTGTTGTTACTTTCATTAGTGCATGAAAAAAGTATGGTTAACAAATGAGGCACAAGCTATTGCCATGTGATTTGATATAACTAAGTAATTTGAGAAGATCATATATCTCCTAGGAAATGGTAGATTTCTATATTACAGTTGATAATAGGAAATAATCAGATTATCTTATTGAGAATAGACAGGGGTTCTTATGATGGGGATCCCAGAACCTGGCCATTTAAAAAAATTATTATAATTGTGTTTTAATAGAACTGGTTTCCTTTGCAATCCTAGGTATTTAATGCCTTTAAAAACACTAATCTGAGAAGAGGTCCTTAGACTTTACCAGACTGCCAAAGGGGTACAAGACACAAAAAAAGGTTAACAGCCTCTGGTCTAGAACTTGAAAGTCATCTTTAAGGTGCCTAACAACATCTGGTTAGTTTGATGGCCTTTGGTTGGGGGAGGGAATTTCAGTTCACTTCAGTAAGCATTTTTTAAGTGCCTATAATACGCCAGGCACTGTCCTAAGGGCTAGAAAGGAACTACTCCTTCCCGACACACGGATATAACGCTATTATTATGTCTATCCATTTCTATGCGGCTAAGCCATGTCTCCAGTGGCTCAAGCCCTGTTGTTGCTTCCTGAAGAGTCAACAAGAAGCAGAGACTTATTAAGATGCTATAGATGTTTTTACACTAGAAAGGAGAAAAAACTGTCTTTGTTCAAATTAGACAAAGCAACCAGTGGCAAAGCAGTTAACTCTAGATGGAAAAAAAAAAGAAGATTCAAATGTTTTACATATACATAGGGACGTCTGTTATCTCATCTGAGCCCTACAGCAGCCTTGTAAGGTAGGAACTACCAGGTATCCTTATCTCCATTTTACAGATCAGGAAACTGAAGCTCAGAGGGGTTAGAGAACTTGCTCAGGCCAACTCAACTTATATATCCCCCTTACATATCCTATTGAGCAATGGGTTTCTTAGATTCTCTGGTCTCTTTTTTGAGAACTGAACAATTACTGTTCAGTTCAATACAAAATACATACATGTTACAATTAATATAAAACAAAAAAAGTTTCCTTCTTTATTTTTAAAGCAGTACAAAAGAGCAATAGTCCTTAATGACTATAGCAGAGAAAGAAACCCAGGGAAGAAAATCATGCAAAAACAGTCAATTGACAACCTATGAGTGCCCATTGTGTGTAGAACACTGTACAACAGCCAGGATTAATGTGCCCTTGAGATGAATAGGGGAAAGAAAACCAGGGAAGTACAGAAACTTTGTATTTGTGAGTTAATTCTAGTATTGACAATAAGGTGATTCGAAATAGGGGAAACCTTCCATTTCTCTTAACTTTACCTATGTCTTCCAATTTTTCCAACTCCTGGAAAATTTATGTTTGAGATAGCTTACTATCCAAGATAGGATACTGGTTTTTGTTGAAATATCTTTTTATTGAATGGAGAAGCTCTCAGCTTCTGGCAAAAAACAAAACAAAACAAAACCAAAAAACCATATGTGATTTCTCTGATAAATCTGTGGATTGCATATAGCGTGGCAGAAGATGTTCTCCATAGGAAGACTGAACTCTCTCTGATGGCCCAGATTCCCTTTAGAAGAAGGGTTATATTTATCGATGGTGGAGAAAAAGAAAACACAAGTTTCCTTCATGTTAATAATATTTAAATCATTTGGTATGACTAATTACTTTCTAATATAGTATAGTAATACTGATAGTTGCCATTTCACTCAGCGGGGTGTTTTAACATCCTTTAGAAATTACATTCTTTGGAGTGTGGGGCCCAATTAAAACATAACTTTTTTTTTTAAGTTTAGAAAAACTATCTCTAGGCAAGTAAAAAAAATGGCATACTGTACTGAAAATGCAATGTTATGATAACCCATCAATACACTAACCATTTCATCTGATTGCATATTTCTATGTATAACCTGGGATGGCCTTTTGAGAATGCCCAGTCAGACTAACATGAAGCCCACCGGTCCCTTATCACATGAGTGGGGATAGGCTTGAAGGACTGGGTCTTTAAAAGTGTCCTTTGGCCTTCTTCTGTTCCTCCTTCCCCCATTTTATGGGTTTTATTCCTCTTGCAAACTCTGACCTGTGGCGGGGTGGGACACGGATCTCCACCAATAAAGAGAGTCCCTTACCAAAGGGTTTTGGGATTACAGAAAGGAGGGGGAGGGGCCAAAGCTTTCAAATAAAAAGCCCAGGAGAAATTTCTATTTGAAGGCACTTAAGTCAATAATCAACATAAGAAGTTTGATCAATAAGGTTTTTATCATTTCCAATTGTATCTCAGGGAGTAGAACTCCTGGATCACAATATCCACGTATTACAGTGTATCTTAACTAGGGGTGGCAGGTGCCATCTTTGCAGTGGTTGAAACAAACAGAAGATCAGAAAATAGGACAGAAACATAAGAGCATGTACCAGGAAGCGTAAATGTTACCCTAAACTGACATAATTCTCCCCCCCCTTTTTTTTTAGGCAACTGGGGTTAAGTGACTTGCCCAGGGTCACACAGCTAGTAAGTGTCAAGTGTTTGGTCTGAGACAGGATTTGAACTCAGGTCCTCCTGACTTCAGGGCCGGTGCTCTATCCACTGCGCCCACCTAGCTGTCCCATAATTCTCCCCTTCTCACAGCCTTTTATTTCTATTTCTATTGACTAAAGCAGAAGTACTCCTGGGATATGTGGATTGGGACTTGAGTGTTTGGGGAAATTAAATTAAATTAAATCAAGTCAGTACTAGGCACACAGAAGGGAGATAAACAACTGGGAAATATGGCCCAGTGGAATGTAACATTTCCACTGAAAGAGATAAGGACACTCAATTGTGCTTCCCTTATTTGCATTTAATTCAGGGCTTTAGGCTCATACAATCAGTGGTGTTGACTCAAAACAGTTTTAATTTCTCAGCAAATGAAAGGGGCCAGATTTTTGTTTTGATCTGCCCCATACTTCCACCCACCCATCCATAAATAGGGAATAACCAATGATCAGGATTGCCTTAGAAGAGGAAGCAAAGAACTGGCCAAAGTACTGAAAATGTTCACTGTAACGACCTGAAACCCAGTTAACTTTAATTACCTTTGCTATCTGGCTTTCCTATAGTAAAAAGGCAGAAGAGGAAGATAAATGAGAGAATACACCAGTGAATACCCTTTTCACTAGCACAGATGATTTTCCCTGGGTAATGCTTGGTGAAAATCTAGTTCTTGCCTAGAATCGTTGGGTTAAATGAAGGAATCTTGAAGCAAGAGTTGGGGGTGGGGTAAGGAAACTTTTGTATACTGTCTAAGGTTCAGACCCAGCTTTCATTTTTTATTTAATGGTGCACAAACTTACTGCTAGTTGAGACCAGATTTTCCAACTCATTTTGAGAAATAATTTAACAAGGAATGGGAATTGGGTTATATTTATTAAGGTTCCCCATTAGACTATGAGCTCCTTGAGTGAGGGTTGGTGCTGTTTTTTGCTTTTCTAGGTATCCCCAGCATTTAATACAGTGCCTGCTACAAAGCAGGTGCTTAATAAATGCTTGCTAACCTCTGGAATAGATGCAAGGGAATTGATGATAAGTAGGGCATCCTCTCATGAAGAGAAATGAGGATATCATAGCTATTACTGTTTATTAGGATTCTTATGGATTGATTTATTAATATAAATTCCTTCTGGCTTCATTCTATGATTCCATGATTCCCGAGGAGAACAGTAGTTCTACAATATGCCATACTGCTTGGGTTCAGTCTCTCTCTCTTTTTTTTTTCAATGATTCTGACCTAGTATGAGTAATTTGGGCAAAAAGTAATTTTTATCCAAATTACCCACTATTACATGTTCACTTTTACTGGAAATCTCAGTTTTTAGAAAATGTGCTTATTTAGGAAATATTCTGGTTCCAATATTGGGTGTTTTCAACTAGTATTGCTATACTTTTATTCCAATCCTACTAGGTTATTCTTCACTGACATTTTTAACTGAAGACATTAACATTCTTCTTTCGTCTCCCTTGGGCAGCTTTGAAAAAGAGGGTGTATTATTACTGTCACATTTTTAATAGGTATATATAATTATAAAAGAAATTGCAAAAGAATAATAAGCACAATGAAACTTTCAGATGTCCCAATCATGCCCTCTCTCATGAAATCATCTTGTCTGTGGCAAAATTTCAGTGAAAGAGAAGCTTTGCCATAATGATAGAATAACTATAATTATTTCCTCAATACTTCTGACATTTGTGACTTTTCATTATATTTGAAGTCATTTTTTTTAAAAGAGGTTATGCTTCTCATTCTTGTTAACATCCTTCCTACATTTTTACTTTCCCTAATTTTTTTCTCTTAATCTGCAGGTGGGAGGCGGGAAAAGCATAGTTAGTGCTAGGAGAAAAAGAGACTGGTAAAGGGCACAAGAGAATAGGCTAATGCAGGGATTTTAATAACCTCTTAAGAGCTTAGGTGATACCAGCTTCAAGAACCAACCCAAAGTACAGTATCTTTTCAAACCAGGACCTGATGCTGTTCAGAGGTCTAAGAGGGTAAGAATGATACAAGGATGTCCACACATCAGAATTAAGGACTGGGACAAGGAGGGGAAGAGAAGTTGGCACTGTCCTATCTAGTAGGAAATCAATGCAACTGCCTCCCAAATTTTTCTAAGTCAGGAAAAACGTGTGCTCCAAGTATACTTTTGATAAGGGTAATCCCCCTGGCAGTGTTTATATCCTGACTGGTCTGGGTGGTTGTTGCTGCTCAGGATTTCCTACACTCCTTATTTAACTCGCTCTTGCTGTGACTGATCAAAATAATAAAGGCAATTTGGGAGGGCAGTGCCACCTTCTAACCTAGTCTAATAAGGAGCTATTAATGAGGGAGGAGTAACATGGAATGAAGAAAAGCTGATTCCTATAGGACAAGGCAGCTTCTCAAAAGGATAAACTTGAGGGGTGGAGAAATCCAAACTAGGAAATATCTAACTATGAAGACACTGTAGAAAGGGCAGGAATTAAATAGGAATAGAGAAGAGCAGTTACTTTTTTTTTTTTTTTTACCATTGTGTTTCTGTAAAAATCCAATGACTTTTTCAAGCACTGTAGTTTTATCCAGTTTTCGAGTGTTCCCTGGAAGCATGGAGCTAAGTTCTTTGATGAGAACATTGAACTGGTCACGACGCTTTTTCTCAGACTTGTTTCGTGAAGCTCTAAAAATATGAAAAATATTGGTAACCAAAATATTCTACTTAAGATAACATTTGTCATGACTGAAATCAAGGCATTACAGATCATGCTCTAGAATCACCCTGTTCTTAATGCCATGGCAAAAATAAGCTACTTTAGCTGCATTTCAAAATGAACCAATACATGACAATTTTTTTTCTTTACTAGTAACTTGCCCAGAAGTAGAAAGGGAGTTTATATGTGTTATGACCAGAACTCTATGTAGCTCCTGGCAACAGCCTTGATGCCATATTTTCTGATTACCCAGAGTTCTAATTTCACAAAAGCAACATAACTACTGGTTATAGGTCAGCCCCTAGGAAAAGGTGATGCTAATGTTTGCTTGTAACCATGAGTTTAAGTTACCTAGTTGGGAGTTTCTTCCTTTAGCAGTGAGGAATATGCTCCAGTTAATTTCTCACAACCCTTCCCTAACCTCAGTATTTCCAAATTTGACATTGAGCCACACAGGGGTCATGAGTATGTTGTGCCTTCTAATTTCATAACATATGAGACTCAAGTCAATTCATATTTCTTGAGTGTCTGCTACATACATAGGCTAAAGGTATGGTAGATATAAAAGAAGCATGTAGTAATACTAATACCCTACTTTCACATAATGGTTTATAATTTGCTGTTTTCAAAGTATTTTCATATGTAGGGTCACAAATGTTTCATATATGTATCTCACAATAGGTTTTACATATGTTTCACATATATGATTCACATACATGTAAGGATCAACTGATCTTTATTGGTCTCATTTTACCAGTGAAGACATTGAGGCTTACTTACTAAAAAAAGATAAGAAATTGAGACTTAGGAAAGTCAGGTAATTTGACTAAATGGCAGTTCTCTGGACTCCATGCTTGGCATACCACACTACAATGGTTCCTGCATTCAAAAGAACTTGTAGTCTCATCAGAAAGTCAACATATACACACATTAAAAAACTGACAATAAGCAATCTAGGGCCAAAATATGTCCCGGAGATAATAAGAACCACTGGGGATCAGAGAAGGGATAAATCAAACATTTGTGCTTTTCACTGATGACTTACCAATACTAAAACTTTAGGTAACTGTTAGACAGTCTTTGGTAGCACCTACAGAGGTTTCAGAAGCTAATCAATTCTTTCTTCCAAAACAGAACAAAAAGGGTGGAAAACTCCCAGAATTTGTGCCTGTGTTCCAGAATGTTCTGCCTCTATTTTTAGGTTAACAGTAACTCACACCTCCATAGTGCTAAAAGGCTTGCAAAGTACTTGGCTTACATTATTTCATTTGATAATCACAATAAGCCAGCATTATTAAGTCCCATTTTACAGAAGAGAAAATTGAGGTTCAAGAGGTTAAATGATTTGCAATGGTCACATAGTGATGGGGTGATGGGACCTAGACCCCTAAAAGGAAAAGACCAAGTCTTTGAAAGCAACCTAGTCCCGGAATTTTCTCATACATTTCAGTAGCCCAGATCAGTGGCATCTCATCCTTGGCATCTGGCTCACCCCAGTCCACCTATTTACTTGATTGTCCTTTCACAATAGCTCTTGGCCCACCCTACACTACTTTATTCCTTTCACTATTGCACCTGGGCCACCCCAGGCTATTTACTACTCCTTAATCTCATCTAGATCTTTTCACTATCCTTTTTTGTATATAAGCATCAGTCTCACCCCCATTAAGTTGCAGATTCACGCCTCCCTATTGGCCTTACAATAAACCTTGCCACTTTGAATGGAAGAAAGTTTGAGTGCTTGTATCATTCCAGGCAGATGCTGCCCTGGACCCTAACATTTCTGGGTTCCTAGCAATCCCAAACCACATCACATTTTGGTGGCCCACAGTTGGATCAGAACTCCAATCTAAATTTCAAGTCCAGGGTGCTTTCCACCACACCACCAGAGTTTTAGACCAGTTAAATGGCTTGTACAGGGGAAACAGCTAATATGTGTTGGAGCCAGGATTCAAATCAGATTTCCTCATTCTGAGTATGGTTTTCTCTTGGCTATACCACACTGTTAGATTAAAATCAGGCTGCACAATATGTTGCATTATGGTAGAATTACCCAGAGCTTAGCAGAGTACCTGACACTTAGTAGGTGCTTAATAAATGTTGATTGATTGATTGATCATGGGTCTAAGATCAGATCTCTTAGATCAAATAGGTCTGGCACTTCAATGGTTAGCTTATAAAAGATAATCAAATCAAGGGAAAAACTGGATATCATAGATCTCATTTAAAGGAAGGCGGAGATACCATTTTAATAGCTAATAATGATAGCTAATATTTATATAGTACTTACTATGTGCTAGGCACTGTGCTAAGTGCTTTACATTTATTATCTCATTTGGTCCTTATAATAACCCTGGGAGGTAGGTGTTATTATTATCCCATTTTATAGAAGAGAACAGAGGTTATGACTTGCTCAGGTTGGAATTTCGTCTGAGGTTGGAACTGATCTCAGGTCTTCTTGACCCAGGGCCTCAGACTCTATTCATCATATCACTTAGCTGTCTCTTTTAAACAAAACAAAACAAAAAAACCCAAATGGTCCATGTATTTACAAAAAGGGAGATCTTCCAAAACAATCAAATAAGTGTAGTAGTTAAAAGTAGTACCTGCTTTCTAACATCAAAATACTTGAGAGTCCTAATAATAAATAATAGATTCTTGATTTTTGTAGCATCAACATAAATGCGATTGTATGGTCTTAAAAGGTATTCATATCAAGTCTAGTTATCATATTTCTAAAGATGATTGTCATATAAGAAATGAATTAAAGATTTCATCTAGTGTCAATCAGTTTTACTGAATTGTTTTTCTATTGTTCCTCTTTTTCTTTCTATTAATTTTTGTTTTAAATAAGGGATAGCTCTCTATAAAGGAATAGGGAGATGGATACAAAAAGAAATACAAATATCATAAAGGCAAAAATTATCAATAAAATCAATTTTTTTTAGGGGCAGCTAGGTGGCAGAGTGAATAGAGAACCAGCTCTGGAGTCAGAAGGACCTGAGTTCAAATCTGACCTCGGACACTTGACACTTACTTGCTGTGTGAACCTGGGCAAGTCACTTAACCTCAATTACCTTTTATTTTAGGCAGTTGGAGTTAAGTGACTTGCCCGGGGTCACACAGCTAGTAAGTGTCAAGTATTTGGTTTGAGCTCAAATCTGAACTCAGGTCCTCCTGACTTCAGGGCCAGTGCTCTATCCACTGTGCCACCTAGCTGCCCCCCAAAATTTTTTTTAAAAAAAGATTTCATCTAAGATATACACGCCCAGAAAGGGAGGTGAGCCAGTCATTTATTAACAACCAAGATTAACAGATGAGTAGATGAGGTATTGCACAGGTATACATAAAATATTAATAAGGCTACAAAAAGAGCAGGAGTGCATTGGATAGGTCATCTCTGAAGGATTGATGGAAATATACCTATGTATTATCTGGGTTTGAAGGTTTGTTTAGTTGAATGTGAAAGGGAGTGGTGCTTACTTCCTCCTCTAAAACTCACCCTTGGAATGTGGGTGTTAGCAGCCTGGTTTAGACACTCCCTTTCTCCTCCCCCAGGGCCTGACATAATCTCCATGCAACTGCCCCGGCTTCTGCCCCAACAGAGATAATTCTCTGCATATATGTGTAGGGAGGCAGGAAACAAGGTGTAATCAATGGTGACTGGCTTGATTTTGCTTAAAAACAAAAACCCCAGACTCAGTTTTGCCAACTTGGGAGTATTTATTAAAATGAATAAATTACTATCAGTGTCAATATCAGTCTTAAGATTTCATTTAAATTTAAAATTTTTTTAAAATTTAACAAATGTAACTTTTGACCACATATAAAAACCAGTCATGTTTCTCTATACATAAAAAAAGAAGTTAAGATTAATCATACTTTATCTGGAATAATCCAGAGCTAGAATATTAATTAAATCATGAATTATAAATAAATTTAAAGGACAAAAAAAACTTTGGTTTAGCTAACCACCCTCTCAGACAGAAAGGGAGAGGGAAGGAGTTGAAAGCACTTCACCACTGGCATTAATCGGTGGTAAGGGCGAAGCTCCCAACTGATCAGATAAGCTTGGGTCTCAGCTGTCTCCACTGGCCTTGGTGTTAGATATTAGCAGCACTGGCCACAGAGGATCCTAACTGCTCTCAACACCAGCCATAGTCAGCTAGACTATTTCTTCAGGGTCCTGCTTCTCTTCTTCCTCACCTCTCCCTCACCCAACTCCCACCAAATCTCCTCAGTCTCTCTCCTCCCAAATCTGTGTGTCCATGCACATACAGACTCTCAAGACAGTCTCTCAGTAATAGCAGTCTGTTTGAAACACCATCTCCCAAGTGGCGAGGATCTGAGAATCCATCAGTCTCCCAAAACCTTTCTCCAAGAAAGACAGACAAGAATTGCCTAGGATAAAATGATATGTGAGTTTTGATCTAGGCTGGTAGAGGGAATGCCTGTCACTATATGATTGATCATGTATCTAAGTATCTAAGAAGAGAGGTAACCTAATGGAAGGAAGGGGAAAAAAAGCATTTATTAGTGTCTACGATGTGACAGGCAACATGCTAAGCACTTTACAAATACTATCTCACTTGGTCCTCACAACAACCCTGGAAAGTAGGTACTATTAACATCCCTATTTTACAGATGAGGAAACTGAGGCAGACATAGGTTAAGTGACTTGTTCACATTCACATGGCTACTGTCTAAGTCTGAATTTGAATTCAGGTCTTCCTGACTCTGTCTAATGCTCTATTCACTGTTCCAACTAGATGCCTCTAATGGTCTCCAGCCTAAGGGTATGTTTGGTATATTGACTGGAATTTCCTGTTAGTCCACTGGCATACTTCTTCCTTAGAGACTGCTAAGGAAACGTTAATAGATTTTAAATATTTTTCTAGATTATATGATCACTATTACCATTCAGCTCAAATCAGTTCAATTAGTATTTATTAAAAACCAATTATGTTCC